GTCTTCGAAGGACCACCTCCGTGATTAGGAGGACAAAACAACTATTGCTATTGTCAGATGACGCGAGGATGCATCGCGGGGGCGAGGCCCTCGGATAGGTTGAATACATTTCTCGATAGTGGTTGGCGAAAACTGTTGGTTAAAATCATAGGTGGAGAAACTACACGAAAATGCCACCCCCCTTGAGTGACGCACGCGGGAATTCCGAGTGCCTCGAACAATCACCGTAGCAGACAATAACGTTAAGACGCGCTTCGGCTCTGCTGACCATATGAATGCAAAAACGTACAAGTGAAAAAGGTGAAAGCAAGTTCTTACCGCTGCTACGAAACGAGCGAAGGCGAAAAATATACATATACAATAGAACTAGATGCTAAGAAATCTAAGGGTCTCTAAAGGACTCTATTCGCAACACTTTGCCTCTATTTACAACGCTTCGACTCTATCTAAATCTCTTCAATGATCGTCCAGTGACTCGGTGTTACAAAAGAACGACTCATTTTACATCCACACCTTTCTCTAACTCATTTACCCTCTAAAACCACAAACGACACTGAAAATTGTCACTTCTGTCACTAACATCGTTCACCATTGCAATTCGAATCGACTCAATTTTCATTCCGACTTCAATTATGCAAGGAACTACTTGGGCGAAATTATTCCGCATCAATCGAGAAAGACAGAATGACCCAATTACCAGGCCAATTATGAAACGTTGACACGGTCCCAGGGGGCGGTAATAAAACGAGCAACGAATCGTTCCTTTTTTTTTCCTTCTTTCTCGCGGGGCTGGGTGTTCCGCCCTTTCGCCCTTCGAGGCCGACCATGTGAGCTTAATTATACGAAATAATTACACGACGTGACTGGGAAATATACGAGCGAGCAAAAGGGGGCAGAACGAGAGAGGAGGGGCACACGTGAATCGCGGTCTGCCGCGAGGGCTGCAGCTGCAGGGAAATGCAGTTTCGCGGGCGCAGAGAAGTGTGCGGCTGGCTCGAGGGTCGCGGGGACCAGGTAGGTAAAAACGGGCTGAAAAAGGAGAGCCACTCTGTTAGCGTAATTATGCCGCGAGCGCTGCCCACTCGTATTATGCCGGCTGATGTGAAAACACGCGTCACTTTTCGCGTAGGCACGAGAAACGATTATGGTAATTGCGGCGATCAACGCGCCGCGAGCTTATTCTTCAAGCGTTTCGGCCAACTTTTTCAATAGGTCTTGGTTACTCGCCGCTGCTTCTGCGTGGGACCCAACGAAAATTCCTCCCAACAAGATGAATTCCAGCACACGTGTGCGTTCTCTGATCTTTCACGAGGGGAAATTCCGGATCTGTTGATTTATTGTACTTATCGAAGGGTGTCGGAGGATCCTCGACGAATTGTAAATTTGTCGGGTACTGAGACGATAATACGGAGGATGGAACACGTTCTTTGTTAGAAATTAATGTTGCAGGACGGAGTTTTGCTGGAATTCGTATGGAAATGAGTTGACAATGTTGGAAGACATCACCCAATTTTCAATTCACCCAAGTTTTGGCCAACTTCTTTCAAATTTCCACAATTGCAACTAATTTTTATCACTGCACACATGTTAAAATTTCATCTTGAAGGAACATTTATACTTTCTAAATTAACGTTTGACTTAAAAAAGTCACATTCATGCTCGCGCAACAAATCTTCCAGCCCTCGTAAACCTCGAGCACAGCCCTCGACTCTCATTGTACCGCTCGATTTCAGAATTATCGAGCGCTTTCACGCTCGTAAAAAAAGCCGATGGAATTCGACTCACATTCTCCAGCTTACTCTTACCTGTACTTACGCGTGTGTCATGCGTTTTCCTATTGACATTGCGCGGTACACGAAACTTGCTGTTTACAAAGGAGAGTAGAAGGTACGAACGGAGAAGTCATCGTTATTCAAAGATCACGGACGCGTCTCAATTTCTCTGAGAGAGAGAGGTTTCCACTTTATAGCCCCTAGTCAAATACACGTGGAAAGAGGGCTGGCCCGTTCACTCTCAGGAATTTTCCCAACTTCTCGAGCCTTTGAACGCGAATCCCGTACATTTTTCCAAGCAACTCCTTCTCTCTCTCTCTTTCTCGCTTCCCTTTCTTTGGCCCGGTAAACTGCGCGAAAGCGTAAACGTATTTCAGGCCTTCGAGATCCAGCGAGACGTGAATGTAGCGGAGAGAAGGAAAGTAGGAAGCGTGGAAAAAGTGTGGCCAAATCGTTTCCCCACGGCGCGGATCGCAGCAAAGAGATTATCTCGGTAAGCAAGCCTCACGAACCATTTGATCGCTCGTTCCAGCCATTCTCTCCCTCAGTTTCCGTGTCTGGATTCACCGAGACATCGGCCAGATCTCCTTCTCTCTCTTTCTTTTTTACCTTCTTGGCTCGTGCACTTTGCAAAACGAGTTCCGCCTTGAGATCAAGTCGCGCGAGAGAAACTGTCCGCCGACCAAAAAGATATCCACGCTCGTATCTCTCTCCCTTTTTCTACCGGTCCAGCCGATGTTTCGACCAATCGTCCCGTTTCCTAGTCTCCCGTGCGTTTCTGCAACCTGATTCTACTTGATTCTACGATGCACTGCGAGCTCGGTCGCGAAAGAGGCGAAAGAGACTCCGGGATACTCGTAAGTACACTCACCTTTGCGAGTTTTTTCCGCGGAAAGTAAATGTGTTTCCGCGGTAAACTTTTTACCATTTAAAGTGCATACTTTGAAATTTTGGTAAAAAATATCGTGGTAACAGGTGGAAATTTGGTTAATTCAAACGAAGACCAATAAATTCCTTTTCCGTTGCTACGATTAATTTGAAAAATTGTTCGCGTTTCGTCGATTTTTTTTGTATCTCGGTGAAAAATTGCCAACCATGTTGTTCTCTTTTATTTCATATTCCAGAGAGTTTCGGTTCAACCCTACCATTATTAATCCGGCGATTCGTTAACCGTTACTTTTCATCAACCAAATATTTTTCGATCTCTCAATTATTCCCCTTTGTGAACGGGGGAACGCAGTCCCAAAAAAGCATCCGCCAAGCACCATCAGGAAACTACTTCGCCTCGGCTAAGCTGGAATTATATGTAAATATTATTTATCGATAAAACGGGGTTCGAGGCTGCGCCAGCAGAAATTTCGCGTCTCCTCGCGAATACAGCCCGGTCGAAACGCGATCGACGATGAAATATTCCCGTGGAACGTTTGCCCATGCCCGTCCGTGGTTGGATTGCTTCTGCAATTTTGTAGCAACAATTACGCTCGGAAACATTGTTGTTCACGTATATACAACTGTTCATGTATGAATAGACAATTTGCAAATTACCAAAGCTTCGGTTCGTAATGTTTCCGCAATCCAGGCGGTCTTTTTGCTACATTTTCCGTGCGCTTTTCTCTTTTTTTTTTTTTCTGTTTGCATAAGAACCCGGGATTCACTCGTTCTCCATGGTAACAGCAGCGTTTCGAGTCTCTTGACACGTCGCGTTTGCGTCACGCGTGAAATCGACCGGACGCGTTTTGCGCTGCTGTTTAACGAACACTTGAGATTAGAGCGACTCGTCGCGGATTATCGGACAGGTAAAACGCCTGCTCGTACATCGCATATGGTGCGCCGTCAGCTGTACTATTGCTATTAATTAGTTTCTCGATGCTCCAACCACTTTTCTCAACGGCGATCGCTATACTCAGGGTGAAGTATAAAACGATTCACTGCGAAGCGAAATTTTCACTTTCACTCGGTCACAGAATTTTTAAAATTCCAAGTTTCACTTCTACCAAAAATTCCAAGACTTAATCGAATCGAATCAAATAACCGTATTTCTCAAGAGATAACCGTATTTCGCAAATTTCCCAAGAACCCGGTAGCCAAAGTATGCTCTGTGCGTTAAAAATTTAGTTACGAATAATAATTCTAAACTAGTATCATAGTTTTCCTAACGTGGAAAATAATCTGGTGCATTTCTACAATTGGTCTCACGTTCACGAAAACCGGTCAAAGTTCGATCCTCCGTCGAGAAGAAATACCGGGAAAGGTCTGATTGCACACTTCACGATGATTCAATTTGCACTGGCGCTCAAAGCTTCGCGGCAATAAATTCCCACCCATCCCATTCCCCCATCGTCCAACCCGTTCTTCCTCAACGAGGGATGCAGCAAGTTCGTTCGCGTCTACTTCTGTCTGAGATAAACACGGAAGTTAAGTTACAATGGTGGGATGCTCTGGTCGAAGTTAAACTAGAATTGGGCGTTGCACAAGTGGCTAACAATAAGTTATTAAGCAGTTGTTCAAGTTTTAATTGCATCTCGCAGTGCCTGCTTTTCAACGAGAGGCAGCAGAAAGCTGTTCTATGTAACGTTGACGAACTTATTCCCAGGATTACCGGTGAATATTCTCTCTCTCTCTCTCTCTCTCTCTTTTTCTCCCCCCGTTTCATGCTCTGCACCCTCAAATATTAACTCTACGGGTCCACTCGACCGCGCGTTCTTTGCAAAATTAAAACGTCATCCACGCGAACCGCCGCGGAAAAATGACAATCTCACCGTGTAATTTCGACCAGATACCTCTCCACTTTTTCCCTCGTTTCGGTAATTCAACGCGTAACGTCGCGGACGGAGCGTGCTTTTGATAATTGTCTTATGTGAAGTGAACGTTCCAATTTTTACGCGACGATCTTCGTCCAAGTGTACAGTTTTGTACGAGTTAATTGCCAATGTTTTCACGTACGAGAAATCTTTTTTAACCCTTATGTCAATAACCGGGTACCCTTTTGCATAATTCTCACGTAAAATATTCCATCTTCCAGGTAAAAGATTGAAATATCCGGCCGGATCGTTGTTATTTCGCACATTTCCTATCCGTGTTTGCCTCAAGTTTAGAATTTCCTTATCCGAAAGCTACTAATTGTAATAAAATTGCACGATAAAGTAGACGACAATTCTGGTTATTGACGCAAGGGTTAAAGTCTTTGGAATCTTTTTCAGAAACGACAACGGAATAATAGAATCTTACTGGTCCAACGTATTTGTATCCACTTTGCAAGGCTAAGAGAGACGCAACCTGTGGTCCACCTTTGACTCTAACCACCCATTCCTCTCCGCTCTCACATCCATGGATGTCGGTGAGAAGCTCATTCGCGACGATCCAGCAAATAATTATCCAGTACCACCTGGGAAGAAAGAGAATTCACTCGTCACTGACACTCGTCTATTATCCGGAGAGAAAAGAGAAGTTTGGAATTTGATGTTGTCAGATACTTAGTCATATCGAGGCCTCGAAAAAATGCTTCTCTCGTTTCGTTTTAATCAATGTACGCGAGTGGAAAAGAAGAAACTACGGGACGAAGCTCCCTCGGTGATCATTGGATACCGAATGACAAGTGATCGAACGGTGTATGTCCGACAATTAGTTACGATCCTCCTTTTTGCCTGTAGAGGGGCTTACTTGCCCCACCAGGCCAGCCAGATAGACGGGGAGAAGGCACGTGATAACGCAAGGAAGATGCGATTATGAACGAAGATTATCTGTCTAATTTAAACTGACTCCTGTCAGACCGAAGATTTTCTCCGGCGATTCAAATGCTTCGGGCGCGAAGCAGTTAGTGTAGTAATGAAATAGTCAATTTTCTCGGGGATTGAATTGTAATAAAAATTAAATTTTTCTGCGACTTATTAGATGCTTGGAATGCATAGGAATTGGTACATTAATGAAATAGGTAGTTTTCTTATGGTTTTAGTAGACGAATGAAATTTTTCAGCGATTCAAATGCTTGGATACTAATAAAATAATCACGGTAATTAATTTTAATTTATTAAATATAGAAATTAAATTTATAGATCCAGATTTACGTTGTACATTGTTCCGTTGCGCAGGTACGGAACGCGTGGGGTCTTCGTTGACCGGGTTTATGGCACGCTCGTGCTAGAAGGTTATTTTTGAGAACTACGACGCTCCGTAGCTCCGCGAAAAAATAAGTCATTTCTTACAGAACAATGCCTATAGAATTTCGACATTTCCGCGTCCTCGATAACCGAAAACGTGTTATAAACCAGGGTTGCTGAAGAGTCTTGGCGGGAATTTCCGACGCGTGACCGAAGGACAGCGAAGATTCCACGCAGCCGCAGGTAGGACCCCACTCCTTCCAAGGAAAAGCGCACTAAAGGCGCAATGGAAGAGTGGGTGACACTCAAGGCGGCACGTTGATTGGTAATTTGTACTTTCGTGAAAAACCAATCAGCGTGCCTTCTTGCACTTGGCGGGGGAGTCACCGAGGACTCCACAAAGAATCGGCTATCGAGCGGGATTCGCAAAAATTCTCTCGAGCGAGCAACACATACACCTCCAGCCGTTCGAGGAGACACATCAGAGCCGATCGTTAACACATTGGCGACGGATGACTCGTATACGCGTCATTCAAGTTCTTTACTTGGGTACGGATGACGCGTTTTCGCGTCATCGATATCTTCATAATTTGTCCCAATATAAATTTGTAAGACGTTATCAATGGTTCGATTTCTCTTCAGAAATTCTCTTCGAATTGAAAAGAGTATTTATGATTTTAACTTTCTATTATATTCCGCGATGATTGATACCGTCAGGGTGTCCCGTAACTCCTCGAACACCCGGAAATGGGGGGTAGTTGAGGTGACTCTGAACAACCTTTTCCTTTTCCAAAATCCAGTTTGAAGCTTCGTTTTTGAATTATTAACGAAAAACACTGGCCAATTACAGCGCGCGTAGAGCCCGCGCTCAGGGACGGCCGAACAGAGATGCACCCGCGCGAGCGAACAAACGCGCCTTAGAGGCCAGTGGGTTGTAAACCCAACTTTCTCTCGCCGGGACGTAATTTTTACTAATATTACATGCTGCCAATTATCAAGGTCCCATTCTCAAAAATAACCGTTTCGGCACGTCCGTGCCATAAACCGCTGCGCAGGCAAATTCCTTTCGGAGATCTGTGAAGACTCTTTATCAGACGTCGCTGAAAATGACAGTGAAGACTCCGTATTATACCGGTACGACGTAGGGAGAGTTTATTACGTGTGCTTTCGTCGTCGTCATCAAGTGAAGAAGAAATAGAAATAGAAGCAAATAATACGGATTGGTCGGAATTTGATCCAGAAAGACGTAACGGACAATTCGAAGGTATTACTGGAGTGAAAATCTTTCCAGACAATCCTCAAAGTGTTGCGGACGTGACCTCTTTATTCATTGGGGATGATTTATTTGAAAAAATTGTGCTTGAAACAAAGCATTTGCCCTTATAATAATTATGGGCTTAGTGAGGAAAAACAAGATACACAATTATTGGTCCACAAATCCACTTATAGCAACTTCAGTTTTTGGCAATACTATGAGTAGAGATCGGTTTTTACAAATTTGTACTTTCCTGCATTTCACTAATAACACAGTTGTCCATGCAAATAAAAACAAGCTAATAAAAGTGCAGGAAATTATAGATTATTTTCTAGATAAATTGAAAAGTGTATATGAACCAGGACAGAATCTATCGCTTGATGAAGGCATAATCCCATGGAGGGGAAGACTTCAATTCCGAGTTTACAACCCTAGTAAAATTATAAAATATGGCATTCTCAATAGAATGGTTTGCGAGTCCAGAACAGGATATATTTGTAATTTTATTCATTATTGTGGAAATAATGTCAAGTTGTAGAACACCATTATGAACGTAATGGATCAATACCTAAACAATGGCATCGCGAGCTGCGATTAATTTCGACGGTGTTTGTGCCCGGGAAAGCGTTTAGATTGCGCCCAGAAATCTGAAGGGGATATAACACAAAGCATCCGGCTGTCGCTATTATTTCTCATCTCAATTACAAACCAGCAGCGCAGTCAATCTTGTGAGAAATGGCTCGGAATAATTCCTCTATTTTACGTCGAGGGTTCGACGACGAATCCGATATTCTCAAGACCCTCTCTCTTCTGCACAACCGTATCTGTTACGTCGTAACAAAGGACGAATACCATCATGCATCGCACTTGTAGTTTTCCTAGAAAATAATAATTCTCACCACTTAAATTCCTGCTCGTACATGCTCGATGAATATACATCTGCGTTGCAGATGTAAGTCCATCGACGTTCCAAAGGGGACACCGGAAACCAAGAATGCGTAAAATAAACCTTTTCAATGGTCTACTTCCAATCGTGGATGTAGGTCCCATCTATGTCACCAAGGATGCGCCGTCGGAGTTCTTACGCAAGGTACGTAAACCTTGACAAGGACTTGGACGGTCGTAACAGGGCGCGAAAATAATAGAAGTCCCTTTTGAAGCGTCGAACGGTCAAGTCTCGGCACTTGTGGCATGGCGCCGTTAGGGCTAAACTCTCGAGACACCAGCCAGGCCCTGCCATAAAGTATCGAGAAAACCGTTTCTATCTCTGATGGGGTGGAGACAAAGTCGACCAATTAGGTCAAATTTTGTGCTTCACCCCCATCGGAGCCTCGAAGCGTAGAGAGGGAAATCGCGCTTCCCTCAGGAGGAATCGTCCTCCGAAAAAACAGAACATTTTCAACACTCGTAGTCAATAGATCAAAGTCAAAACTAGTACACCAAAAAAAAAACTCGATCGTTCTCGTCCAGACTCGAGCAGCTTCCTTCTGAAGCTCGTGGTTTGCGAACTGATTAAGTCGCCGGCCGATTAAGTTGCCCGGCGAAGTGGACGTTTCCCTCGTGGATCAACGAAAGTCGCACGAGTCAGGAAATTCCACCATCACGGCGTTACTCCGACACCCGAGTCGGAAAAAGGGCGCATCTCGCAACAGTATCGAATAAACATTTCACGGTGATTTTCACAATTTTCCATCATTTCGAGTACTCTCGTAAATGATATGTAATAAAATTCGTTTAATTGCTCCGAGATATATTTGTCTCGATCCCACAGGACCGCGGCATTGAACGTGGTTAATTTCGGGTACCGTAGGATCGCGCACAGTTCATACGGAAATTTCGCTTCTGTTTCGCGTCCCGCAGACGCGTTTCGGAGTCTCTATAATATGTAGAAAGCTGCTCGAATCCTTCGGGATAATCGGTTTAACATGCGTGCACGTGGAGCTCGTCGATTGTATCGATTAAACACGCGTTCGACGAGCTTTGTTGCTCGCTCTTTTTTTCCATTTTTTTTCTCCAGCCGTTCGAAACTCGATTGAAAATTGAAAACTCGTTTCGCTTTGTTGTTACTCGTTCGTTCCTTTCTTTCTCTCTTTTTTGTTTTCACTGTCTATACGAACGAGAGGATATTCCGACGAAATTTCACCGTGGATCGTGATCTATCGTACGCGGTACGATATTCGTAAGGGTGAACGTGGCGTACGAAAATCTGGATCTAATTGATGGAGGAGGAACGTGGACAGGTGAAGAGGATTTTACAGTTTTGCCGTCTAGAACAACTTCACTTTGTCGGCCTCACGGGTGTAGTACTTACGGATAGATATACAGACGAAGACACACCAAAGGGTGGCCCCGATAAAAGCAGAACACAGAGAGACACCAGGCGTCGTAAAGTTGTAAGGGAAAGAAGAGTCGGGGCAATCTGTCGATAAAAGGGTGCCCGTTTTGCTTCTGCTCACGTCGAATTTCCGGATAAATCCTTGTCTCCTCTATTTACAGGGATTACCCTTCTGTCCAATAGCAAAACGTAGAGAAAAGAAAGTAAGGATCTGTATGGTTTTTATCTGTATTATAGGCAAACCCTTCCATGCAAATAAACGTACGTATTATTTTTCTATCGAAATCTCTTTTCTTTACACAGATTTGCAGGGCATAAAATGGAAGTGGTTCGTCAACAAGGTTCGTTCGAATTCTGTAGATATCACGAATTCGCTTGATACATCACGATCAAGAGGAACGCGAGCGAATAACAGAGGTACAAATTAATGGAAAATGTTCCCAGCGATTCGTTTGCTAAATCTGCGAGCATTTCCGACGTACGAGAGAGAGAGAGAGAGTGAGAGAAAGAATTCGATTTTCCGTGAACGTGGAGGACCTTCGACGATCGCGTCCATTTTCCAGCCGAGACTTTCCCCATTGTACCCGGGCGACGAGTTCCAACTATTTCGAGGCAATCGTTTATGGCTTCGAAACGTGCATTACTTTCCTGTTAACAGGCTACAGTGTTCGTTCCCTCACGCTGACAGTTTTCAGATAATTTCGTTACAATAGTTAACGGAAGTTGGTATTCCATTAATGCGTACTTCCATTTCTACGGCTATACACACCGCGTCAACGTTCCCGCGGTCAGAC